TATGGCAGTCAGTTTGCACTCCTGACATCAAACTCTTCGCAGAAAAACATCGCTAAAGAATTCGTCGACAGGATGGTTGCATGGTCCAAAAATATCAAGGTGTCAGACCCGCTCGAGGAAGGTTGCAGGCTTGGGCCAGTTGTTAGTGAAGGACAGGTACTACATGTTAGCTTTATATAAATTCAGAGAGAGAACAGGACATGTCCTTTTTTCTTTTTGCTGGATTTATGTTCTCCTTTAATTTATTTATAGTGATATACTCCCTCTGTTTCTAAATGTAAATCCTTAGAGATTTCAGTAGGAACTACATATGGATGTATGTAGATTCACTCATTTTGTTCTGTATGTAGTCCATATTGGAATCTCTAAAAAGACTTGTATGTAGGAACGGAGGGAGTAGTTTGCTCCTTTGAGTTAGCAGCTGTAGCCGCTCTTGTTCTTGCTAGTTATTACAAACTGCAACTTATACCTGTGTCCAAATGCACTGAAGCACCACATTCTTTGGATTTATTTTTATGTTTTTCACACCAAGAATTCATGTTTCTGTCATAGCCCATGACACTGACTGAGAAAAATAAACATCATGGCCAATCCATCATCATCCAGCTTTGTAAAAATATTCTTTGTGTCTGCATATTACCCGTTGCTTAGACTCATTCCTTGTTAGTAGTCTTACTTGTGGTATTGCCCGGTTTCAGTATGAGAAGATCAAGAAGTTTGTAGCGAATGCTAAAAGTGAAGGTGCCACCATTCTGACTGGGGGTGTCAGGCCCAAGGTAATTCCCAGTTCACTGATGCTTGTACGTGTACAGGTATTCACATTCTACTAAAATCGAACTAACATTTTGTGTTTTTGCAGCATCTGGAGAAAGGTTTCTTCATTGAACCCACAATCATCACTGACATCAACACATCAATGGAGATTTGGAGGGAGGAAGTCTTTGGTCCAGTCCTGTGTGTGAAGGAATTTTCTACCGAAGAGGAAGCCATCGAACTGGCCAATGATACTCAGTGAGCTACTTATCTGTTTCAATAGAGCATCTATTATTTTGACGAGGATTTGCAGCATATATGTTATGTAGCCTGTTGCTTGTGAGCTTACTCTGATAACTGATCCTCTTTCCACAGTTATGGTCTGGCTGGTGCCGTGATTTCTGGTGACCGTGACCGATGCCAGAGATTAGCTGAGGTATGTCTTGCAAATCGCTCTTGGGTCTGTTTGTTGCTGCACTTCTGTAACAAAGTGTCTGATGGCGATCCCAACTACAGGAGATCGACGCGGGGTGCATCTGGGTGAACTGCTCGCAGCCTTGCTTCTGCCAAGCTCCGTGGGGCGGGAACAAGCGCAGTGGCTTTGGGCGCGAGCTAGGAGAAGGGTGAGCCAAGATTGTGTTCTCTGAGGCATGCTATAACTGTCGAGGGTTTTTACTTGACGCCGTCCGCGCCTTTTGTTTTGCAGGGGGATCGATAACTACCTGAGCATCAAGCAAGTCACCGAGTACACATCTGATGCGCCGTGGGGATGGTACAAGGCTCCGGCTAACTAAGATGTAATTGAGCTGGTTCGAGGACCTGGGTCTGTTCCATCAGAGGATAAATCTGTGCGCCGGCCTTTGTAGTGGTGAATAAATGTAGTTTGCCATGTACTCCTGAACCTTTCTTGCAAAATAAATGGCATGAGTTTTGTGGACATATGCTGTGTGTGACATGGATTTACATGCAACTCCCCTATATTATCTCAGTCTATGACAACGGTCTGAATATTATTATCAGCGACGCAAAGGACGTAAAGGAAGCTTGGTCTTACCTTAAGACGAAGTTTGAGATAGAAGACTTGGGTAAAACCAGGCTCTGCTAGGCTTACAACTTGAGCACCTTCCTGGAGTTCTTGTTCGCTAGTCCGCATACACAAAAGGTTCTTCAAAATTTAGTATGGATATAATCTCACCCTGTTAAAAACCTGATGGTTGTAAGATCTTTTAACAGACTCATTCAGACCTTGAAAGGAGAATGGGGAATTTTGGAGACGAATTGCACTGGGATAGTTTTACCAGAAGAACCAAGAATTTTGGAGACGAATTGCACTGGGATAGTTTTACAAAATTTTGGAGACGAATTGCACTGCAAATTTGTGTTTCTCTATTGTGGAACATCAGTTTCTTGGCGGTCATGCAAGCAGACCCTCGTAAAGGTAGTTGCTTTTTATGTGTGGCTGCCTCAGCCGGATTACTAATCACATCCAGACGTCATGTGGACTCAATACCTTTTTTTCGCGAATACGCAAAGGACTCAATACCGGCAACGGCCCCCCACAATTATGTATGCTAAAAAAATAAATGCTCAAAAGAACACCCCCACAATTATATACTGTACAATGATAATGTTGCTTGTGTTGCACAAATGCAAATGCTTTTTTTTAAAAACAAATGCAAACGAGTTATGTCAAAGAGCAATCTCACTAAGCATATACTCCCTCCGTTCACTATTATAAGAAGTTCTATTTTTCTCCTGATTCGGATATATGTATAGAAGCATTTTATTGTGTTTATTCACAAAAATGCCAAATGGAGGCCTTAATTCTAAAACTTCAATATTCAAACTTTTCAATTTTAAGAAAATTCTGAAAACAAATACACATATACCTAGAGACATGTACATGTGTGTACATTTTCAGGTCGAAATACGTTAAAATGAGAGTTGCACAAAAAAAATTGTGCCTTTTCAGCATCAGTACGGTTCATCCTCAAAGTCCATGATTTTTGTTTGTGTGCAGCTCGCGTTTCAAGGCATTTCATCTTGGAATTTTACACACGTACACATTACGTTCTTGTATACATGTGCACTTAAAAAAACGAAATTAAAAAGTTTAAGTTTTGAATTTTTCAGAATTAAGGCCTTCATGGAGCTCGGTCTCCAAAATGCCCTGCTCGTTTGTTCACTTCTTTCAGTTCTTAACATTTGTGAACGGAGGGAGTAGCTCCTAAATTCGTCTTCCCTCGTGAACTTCAGAAGTGGGAAAGTGAAGATCTTGCAAACTAAATCTTATGATGATCTTGCTGATCTATTCACAAAGTTTCTACTTGCATCAAGTTTTCAAAGATGTTTCTTGGCATCAATATGAGAAAGCTAAGAGTTTCAAGGTCCAGGGGGAGAGAACCCCTAAATCATAGCTCCCTTTGATGATCTTATTAAAGGTCGTTGGTCCAGAGGACAAACACTAACCCTTTTTTTTTGAAACTTCGGTAACTTTATTAGATCAAAATATTGTTACATCATCCACTAGCCCTTGTACAATATATGCAATAGACGGGTATCCAACCAACACTCATACATTTGCGACAGGACAAACACTAATCCTGGAGACTAAAGGTTGTACTCTTGTTTTCCTACCGAGATAACAAGTGCAACTTGAGATATGTATGCGGTGCACTCTTTTGTCCATCCTTTTTCCCCATGCAAAATGGATAAAATAATTACAATTATTATAGGAAAGTCTAGAGCTATCCCATGATAGTGGAAAAGTCGGCAGATACAGAACTCACCTCACACAGGTCATACGAAGGAATTTTTAACAAGGCATGTGCATTTCAAAGTAAACATCCGAGGAGGAGTGTTATGCAACATTAATCTATGCTATGCTACTCAATTGATTTCTACAAGTCATGCAAATACTCCCTCCGTAAACTAATATAAGAGCATTTATATCACTATTTTAGTTATCTAAACGCTCTTATATTAGTTTACAGAGGAAGTACTAAGTAATATCATTAGTAACATGTCATGAAGCCTTGGCAACCTATCAAAAGGTTTATTGTGAGCTTATTACTAAACTGCTTCAAGTGGGCTAGGCTATAAAAGGCCATGCGATGGAGAGTTTCTATACAGAATTTGATTTGAGCTCATGAGAGAAGTCATTGTGAGAATATAACAAAGAGCTTACAAGTTTCTTTCTATAAATGTTGGTATTCTTTGTTTTTGCAATGTGTTTATTTACCTATTGAACATTCCGAGTCAGAGATGGAGTTCAACATCGATTTTATGATAATTTGGATATTTCTCAAGAACATCTAAAAATGGAGGCTGCATCTATTAATTAAGATACTAAGCTCCCTAGATTTGAAGTATTCTGATGCATCGAAGACTGTAGGGTTCGCTGGGCCCCATTTGTAAGGGTGTGTGTGGTTGGTTGAGGGTTCATGTTTGTTTTTCTTTTTGTTATTTTCTTTTTTGCTTTCCCTACTCTTTCTATTTTTAATTTTATTTTTCACATTTCAATTCATGAATATTTTTCAAAAATGTGCATTTTTTTAAAATTATCATATTTTTTAAAAATTCATATTTTTTTCATAATTCATGAATATTTTTAAAGTTCATAAATATTTAAAATATAGCACATATCAAATTGTATTTATAATTTGTGAATTTTTAAAATACATGAATTTCTTAAATTACTAAATATTTTTAAAATTCATGTTTTTAATTTTGTAGCATATTTTTAAAAATCCATAAAAATATTTTTATTTAACAAAACTTTTCAGAAAAAGAATGATAGTCAGCTTTTTATGAGATAGCAGTGGAGCGAGCAAAAAAAAGTTATGCAAGCGAGTGGAACAGAGAGCCGAAATAAATGAGCAGTAGCTTAGTGACCGGCCCGTGTGAATGTTACAGTGGCAGTTCCACAATTTCAACATGGATAAGCTCCCAAGGGGCTCATGCCATGACCATTCGCTAACACCAAAAGTGAAATGTGTAAGGACACCGTAAGCACACATCGAACAACTCCACTCTTCTCTTAAACAAATACCTTTTCTAGCAGCACCCAACAGGATACATGAATGGAAAAAAACAAACGTTATCAGAACATAATTAACACCCAAGCCAATGTAGATAAAGCCAAACGGAAAAAAAGATAATCTCATGAGTGAAGAACGGCGTGGCGAAGCGCGCGTCGGCCTTAGCTGTTTGTGAAGTGCTCTAGTATATTTCTTGTTTTTAAGAGAATGAGATTCTTTTTAGGGGTTTTAGAGAATGGGATGGGTATAGAGAATTTTGCTAGTCTCTCTGAAAAGGGCATATGCGGTAGAGTTGAGTTGCCTAAAAATCAAAATCCCCCCTTTTCACTTCCTCGTGGCGGCCCGATGCCGCCGCACGCCGGCGTCGACCTCCCGCGCGCCATCTGCGCCGCCGTCATCAAATGCTCCTTCTCGCCGCACGCCCGCCTTCTCGCCGCGGACCCGTCCCTCCTCGCCGCCGTCCTCGGCCGCCTCTCCCCGCTGCCCTCCGCGGCCCTCGCTTTCTTCCGCGCGCTGCCGCCCCCGCACCCGCTCGACGCCACCCTCGCCCTCGTCCGCCTCCTCGCCGCGCACCCGCGCCACCACCCGGTCGCGCGCTCCCTCCTGCGCGACCTCTCCCTCCGCCACCCGCTCTCCTCCCCGCTCGTCCTCCCCTCGCTCCTCGCCGAGCCCCGCGTCCCGAGCTGGCTCCTCCTCGCGCTCGCCCAGGGCGGCCGCGCCGGCGACGCCGTCCGGGTCTTCGACCACATGCGCGCGGCGGGCCTCGCGCCCGACGCCCACGCCTGCACCGCGCTCCTCACCTCGCTCGCCAGGGCCCGGATGACGGCCACCGCGCGCAGGGTGTTCGACGAAATGGGCCTGGCCGGGGTCGCCATGAACACGCACGTCTACAACGCCATGCTGCACGTGTGCCTCAAGGCCGGCGACGCCGCGCGCGCCGAGGCGCTGATGACGAAGATGGACGCTGCCGGAGTCCCGCTGGACCTCTTCTCCTTTAACACCGCCATCGCGCTGTACGTCAGGAAGGGGATGCAGTACGAGGCGATGTGCGTGCGGGACCGGATGGCGAACGACGGTGTCGAGGCCGACATCGTCACCTGGAACACCGTGATCCACGGGATGTGCAAGGAGGGGAGGATGAAGGAGGCAGCCCAGCTCCATAGGGACATGGTGGCGGCAGGTGTAGAGCCGGACATGGTGACGTATACCACTCTGGTGGATGGGTATTGCCGGGCGGGTGATGTGGGGGAAGCGATGAAACTGCGAGGGGCAATGGAGGGAAGGGGGATGTTACCGGGTGTGGCTATGTACAACGCAATCATTAGGAAGCTCTGTGAGGATGGTAAGATGAAGGAAGTGAACGGGTTGCTTAGCGAAATGGATGAGAGGAAGGTGCAGGCTGACCATGTGACGTGCAACACGCTGATCAACTCATACTCCAAGAAGGGGGACATGCCCTCGGCGTGCAAGGTCAAGAAGAGGATGATGGAGTCAGGGTTGCAGTTGGATCAGTTCACTTACAAGGCTCTCATCCATGGATTCAGCAAGGCCAAGCAGCTAGATGAAGCCAAAGAGGCCTTATTTGAGATGATGGGTGCAGGTACTCCAAATTGATCTTATTTTGCGGTTTCGATAAGTGGTATTAGCCCATTGTAAGGACTAAAGACTGAATAATATGATGTCTAACCAACCACCAACCATTACTTTGAGTAGCGAATGATCCTTATGTTTTGATAGAAAACAGTCGGTGTGCAATAAGCCAAATCACTGGTTACTTGACATATTAGTCTCTACTAATGATGTTTGGTTTTATCTGTATGCAGGATTTTCACCCAATTATAGTGTATTTTCATGGCTCGTCGATGGCTTCTACAAGAAGAACTGCGCAGATGCAGTGCTACTCATTCCTGATGAGCTTTTGAAAAGGGGCCTTCCTCCAGATAAATCAGTATACAGGTCTCTGATCCGAAGGCTCTGCAAGAAGGGGCTGGTTGATCTTGCCCAAAAAGTACTTCACCAAATGCAAGGCAAAGGCCTAGAAGCTGACTGTCTGGTGTATGCCACACTTGCATACGCACAGCTGAGCACAGGAAAGCTGGCTGCTGCTTCCGATACATTGGACGAAATGTCGAAGAGGCAGCTGTCTGTGACGCCACAGATCTACAACTGCCTGTGCACTTCTTATGGGGACGAGAAGGAGACACTGAACATGTTCTGGGTTCATGCCATCGAGAGAGCCCTGATTGGGAAGAGTGTGTACAAACTGATGCACCAAGCAAGGGTGAAATCATCAAATCCTGGAGTTGAGAACGAGGGACATGCTCCTGTTTCAAGGCCGAGCTTACCGGCGTCTGCGAAATGAGACCTCGGCGGACTTATCCGGCAGTTTCATGTATCATTACCATATGCTCCCTTCCTGAACCTTCCATCGTGCAAGGGTACGAAACACACTCTGGTAATTCATGGCATCTCTCTGTTCTTTGTTGGTCCACTGTAATACCGATCTCGTGTATTTACTGCTTATCAAAAATTGTTTTCAGGTGCCCTGTGAATCTGCGTCCCATCTTGTTGGCGCTGTAGGTTGCGAGCTGTGCTCCTCGCATACCCATATCGCGTGCACGAACCTTGTCAACAGAAGCATATTCGATGTATGGCAGCAACAGGACAGTTGAGGTGGTGGAAAACACCTTGTTAGCCGGATAGAAGCAGGACATGTTTGATACTTTGGTTTCACTAGGGATTCACAGCGCAATCTGTTTTTTTTTGGGCAGTTAAGAGTGTGCTAACTCTTTTTTTTGAAACATCGAAACTTTATTTCTCAAATAATCGCAAGGTCATTTACAAGGTTAAGAGTGTGCTAACTCAATTATGTATCTCTGATATCAAATTCCTTTTAGGGAAAAGGAAGCAATGTGCATGCTTATCTATTTTCTGAGCTCAACAAGGTAGCAACAAATAGGCAAATAAAACCCAGATGCTTAGACCACATTAGGCCTGTTCTGTTCTGGGTGGATCCATTCATTTGCCTTTTTGAGAATATATTTGAAAATTGGCTGTTTTTCTGAGTAGATGGCAAAACTTCTATCCTGTTTTGCTATTCAGTTAGTAAAAATAATAATTAAAAACTGGTTTGTGTGGCTTTGGGCCTGTTTGACAACTGGACCGGGGCCAAGCAGCCCAACCCAAGTGACAGAACTGCAGTATTGGCCCACTGAAATTACTTCTTGAGCTACACGAAGAAGAAGATAAGGTGGTGGCCATGCCGCGCGCTCACCTCGCAGTAACCATGCCGCTGCTAGCCCAAACTGCTAAAACCCTATTCCTTTCCCGCCTCCCGCCTCCGACTTCGCCTCGCCTCCACCTCCACCGCGCCACCGCCACCGCTGCCGGCGGGAGGGGCGACGGTGCGGCGTCGGCGGCGTCCGGCACGTCGGCCAGGGACCGGCGGCTGGCCAGGGTGCGGGAGGAGCGGCGCCGCCGCGAGTACGACCGCGAGCACACCTACCCCGGCTGGGCCAGGTCCGTCGCCCATCTCCCCCCGTCGCCTCCTTCCCGAACCCCTCTGCTTTGCTACTGTCCGTGTGTATGTACTGTGTCTGTTTGGATGAATCCTCTGCTCAGTTAGCTTAGCTCACTGGTGGTTTGCTCTGATGGTTTTAGGGTCCTGGAGAACGCCTGCAGGGATGACGAGGAGATGCGCTCCATCCTCGGCGACAGCATCGGGAACCCGGAGCTCATGAAGCAGAGGGTGCGTTTTTCTGTTAAAACAAATAACCGGGGTTTTGATTCTTGGGGCCTCAAAGTGCAGTGCATCTGCTGTACTGAAATTGTAGAGCTTTGTGTGCTTGCTGTGCAGATACAAGAGAGGGTGCGCGCGAAAGGCAGGGAGGGGTTCAACAGACCCAAGACGGGCTCCGTTGCCGCGTTCAAAGTCAGCTTCCGAGAGTGAGTTGTCGTGTAGACGATGAACACACATGTATTTTTATCTGCTCGGCATGCATGATAGCTTAAAGTGATTCTGGACCAGATGATGTGCTTCAATCAGTAGCGAGATTCATTGCCAAACATCGATTTGCTCTCTCTGTATCCATGATTCTATTCTCATTGATATAACTGAAATTCTCTTTTAGTGAAATAATAATAACACGGCATTTCCATGAACATCCACAATCCAAAACAACTTCTGCTTTCAATGTAGTATTTCCCATATTTCAAACTGAGGCAACGATCTGAATTTGGGTCACTCTAATGCATAAATCAACAATGTAACAGCTAAGTTAGACATCAACATTGCAGAGACGGTTGATTTTTTCTTTTTTTTTAGGGGAGTACACAAAAGGTTGATATGATGATTGTTGTGAAAGCAATAGGAGCTTTTCCAAGTTCAAAGATGTGGAGTCTTATGAACTCTGAATCTCATTTATCTTTGTATCCTTGCAGCTTCAACCCGTTAAATGCTGTGGAGTCTTATGAACTCTGAATCTCATTTATCTTTGTATCCTTGCAGCTTCAACCCGTTAAATGCTGTGGAGTCTTATGAACTCTGAATCTCATTTATCTTTGTATCCTTGCAGCTTCAACCCATTAAATGCTTTCATCTGGTTTGAACTCTTTGGAGAACCAACTGATCGAGATGTTGACCTTCTTGGCGGTGTAAAGTGACATTGTATATTTTTTCTTTGGATTCTCATCGTAGAAAGCCATCACCCTGTCTTGACGGCAGCTGTTTCTTCGCAGGTTATTCAGGCTTGGTATGTCATGGGAAGGCTAGGAGCTTTCAACTCTTCAAATTTGCAGGTTGGACTTGTTTGATATTTGAATCCTACATTGCCACCGTGTTTTTCTTCTCATTTCCAGTTGGATTCCTCCACTCATAAAGCCAAATCAATAACTGAAAGATAATACTGTGCATCAATTCTAAGAGAAACCCTCCGAGTTTTTTGGAAATACGAAATAATTTGCACATTATACTCGGTGTCTTCTAAATTTCGAAAAAAAATGCACACTATTGTGATATGTGAACCACCCCTTTTTGTTTCTCTATGTAATTTGTGAACCATCTTTGGCATGGTTTAACTTGGCACCTAAAAAGTGTTGCAAACTCTACTCACAGTCACACAGGCCAAGATATTAAATTAAAAAAAAAGTTTGACCTCTTATAGTAGCGTTTACCTATGGAGCTATTCTTTATCATCTCACCCGCAAAAAAAAGTCTATTCTTTATCATCTGATTACAACATCTATGTAGCAGACGTTGTAAGTTTATGTATATAAAGCTCGCATGCTTCTTCTGATGTTCTATGATAAGTTAGTTGTTTCCCTCACTATATTAGACTTGTGATTTGTAAAATTTGATCTCAGCTGGCCAACTCAATGCTGGATTTTGACCCTTCGTATGATTCTGAAGAAGCTTCTGCTGTAATGCCTTCATCTTTCCATGATATCAGTGATGTCGAGTTTCAAGACAATTGGGGCAGAGTATGGTAAGGATTGGAAACATTCAGTAAGTTTGAAGCCTTGTAAAGTGGTGTATGCTACTCTGGAAATCATCTTCTATTAATTTCAGGGTGGACCTTGGGACTTCAGATCATCTTGGATTGGATGTACTACTGAACTGTCTTACACAATTAAGCTCAGAGTAAGGCATCTCTCACTGACTTAGTAGAATATACGTAGCTGTTTAGCTCGGAAGAAGTATCATCACAGATCATGGTTTCCAATTAGATTGTGGAGATAAATCGGCATTGGCACCTTAACTCTGCAACCATTTATTAGCGGACCCCCAGATGTGAGGCTAAACTAATTGTAGAACCAAACTACCAGCTTTTTGTTCATGTATGTATGATCATGTCTTCATTTGCTAGCTCTATGATTTCTGGTTTCTAAAACCCTCCTAAGCAACATCATCTCATAGCACATTATATAGATTATGAATTGTGACTGCACAGTTTTCCAAATTTAACCATCATCTTGCACCTAACTCACCCTGTCTGTTGATTTGGCAAACACTGCAGGCATTTGGGCATCAAACAGGTGGTTTTTGGCGGCAGAAAATTGGGCGACTGGGAGGAAGGCATGACGAGCTCGGACTATGGATACAAGCACTTCAAAATATAGGAATCAACAAGTGGTATGTGGCTCGAAGCCTCCAGGGGATCACGCAGCCCTCAATAGTCGAGATAAATTTTGTCTAGGAACGAGTTAGGAGTAGTCCCAACTCCCAGGCCTGGCTAGATTTAAATTGCGCGCTCGTGTATGTATGCATGTAAATAACTTCCAAAGGCTAGTGTCCTTGCTCTAGTGCCAATGGTCAATGGTCAAGAGCATAGAGGCTCTTTGGCTGCTTTCCTTCACCGCCAAGATGCTTTTGAGGACAAGGTGGATGAGAGATTCAACATCTTTGGAGTTGAAGGTTGCCTCTGCTAGTGATGTCAAGACAGTCTAGTAAATGATGGCAAGGCCACTGCTTCCCATTCCTCAAGCAGTTTGCCTCCTGCACACACTGAGTTCCCCCTCAGTGACCGTCGGTAGCCAAGACGCAAGGCCTTCACTTTCTATGGCCGCTGACGTTCCGGAAGCTTAGTCTAGTGGGATGTCAGCTCTTCTTATTTTTGTCAAAGGGGGGAATTTTAGGCTAGAAGGCTTCATGGGTCTTTATGGTTAGAGAGTTTGAGAGGTAGAATCCATGGCTAGATAGCATTTTCATGTGGTTGTACTTCAATTTGACTGTTTTTTCTACTCCCGTGAATGAACCAAGATTTGGGGAATCGAGTTTATGAAACTCGTGTTTTTCCGTCCTCTGTTTACATGTGGCTATCCTATTCATTTGTGTTGCAGAGTTTGGGTATCTTGTCGTGCATGAACAAGCTGAACCAACATGGCAAGTTCAGAAAGAAGCTAGACAATCACACGGTACAAATCAATTAGCACAATCCTGAAACAACACTAGACATGTCCCTGAAACATCTTATCGAAACACAGGCCTTCAGCGGGCAAAACGAGTAAGACATAGCATGCTCTTAAAACAACACTGGGCAGTTCACTCAAACATCTTAACAAAATATAGGTCTTTAGCGATGTAACAACCAGGACTAGGACTATGCTTAGGAATTGATCTGTGCATCATAAGTATCATTTTCATCTCATTATAATATGAAAATATTTCATCTCATTATAATAGGAAAATGAGGATAATTGCAATCCTCACCTTTTTCCTAAAGGGCCAAACCCCTAAATTTTGCCAAATGTTCAAAATACCCTTTCGAAACCCTAAATATTCGTAAAGAGCCTCATATTTAATATGTGGGCCCTCCCCAATTTAAAAGAATGCAAGGATTTATTTTAATTGAATTGTAATTCATA